TTTATTAATGACAAGTGTAACAATTTGTATTGTTAAATAATACAATTGTTAATTAAATGCAATATTTTGAGATGGAAAAATTATACTCCAACGAAATAAAAGTTTAATTTTTTTTTATCAACGGGCGCATCGCCTAGTAAAGTAGCCTCTAATACAATTGGAGAAGTAAACCAATGATAGCCTGTTTTATTAGAAAAGGACTGTCATTGGTTCGCTTATTCGTTCGTATTACAGGAAACATTGACACTGCTAAATACTAAATCTATTCTTATCATTTATAAATTTTCTAGTTATCGATCTTTTTTTCTAGAAAACGATAGGTTGCTGCGCATTTGGTTATATAAATAGATCAGAAAATCGATGAAAACTTTAATTAAATTTAATGAAAACTAAAGATTGTTTAATGAAAAGACCTAACAAGGAAAATATTTTCGGTTACCTTAGTCGAAACAGAACAGAACATTGTTTATAAAGTGAAATCTGTACTCCACATATTCTATTAGATGACTAACATACAACATTTGTCAGCCATCAACATCAATATTAACTTTTTCTAAGTTAGTAAAAAAACATCTCGAAGATGGGAAAAATTTAAACTATAATTCCATTTCCTACATTATTTTAAAAAGAAAACTATCCATCCTTCTTTCTGGAATTTTTACCGGTAAAAATGGATAAAGATGAGGTGAATTTGTGATCCACTTCAGGATCTGAACATAATTTTTGGTGAAGTCAAGAAATGGTAGAGTGTGCAGCATGTTGTTTTACAAGATGTTAGAAGATTGCATCTCCCTGCTGATATGGCAGAAAATACTGATGCAAAATTGCATTGTAGTGTTGTGTATTGACGGTCCCATCATATGGGAAAAAACTCTAATAATAATTGTCAATATAATTTAATGTACACAAAGCTTACGTAAATTTTAAATAGCCTACGTTGTTATAATAACTGCGTTATTAATAACCGTATTAGGAGATATTGTGTATGGAAATTTATGTTATATTAAGAACAGGCTGAAATGTAATTTACTCCCTTAATGACACTTTGTAATATCCAATGCATGCAAGATTTATAAGGTCTCTGTTACAACGTGAAATTGAAGGTCCTGCTTTGTTAGAACAATTACATTTGCAAGTACTTGAATCTATTAGGAATTATTTTAGATTTAAAATTCTTTTGTATAAATCTAATTAATATTGTTCATATTATATCTGTTCATAAACTGGCAGCATTCTATAATCAATAGATTATAACAACTAGATTTGTTTAGTTCTAAGCGACAGTCACTGCTCAAGTTATTTAACATTTAACGTTAAAATTAATGTGCATATGTTCAACATGTTCTTGCATTTATCAAGTTTTATATATTATTGTTTTATATTCTTTGTATGTTAAACAGACCTGTAATTGGGGGGGGGTTAGTGTAAGTCGATTTGGTAAATAAATAAATAAAATAACTGAATTTATTTTGCATTGATAATTTTCAAATCAAATACAAATAATGGGTAATTAAATATATCAATATTTTTATCAAAAAAAAATTTATCTATAGAATCAACGCATTTGATTTATCGATGGCAAAATATGCCGTGCGTACTCGATTAGTTAGACACACGAGTTCGAATAACCCCGCTTTCCGATCGTATTTAAAATTGAATAACCCCACGTCCGTAGTATTGAACCCCCGTAAAATTGAATAACCCATCGTAGTATTGAATAAACCCACGCCCGTGTTAAATCTAACATTTTCTAAGCTACGACTTATTCTAAATTGTAATTGTATAAATCATTTGTTTACGTTTAACGACCCCTCGGGTCACTGGCACTAACACGTGAGGTAACTAATTTTGAAAAAACAAGCTCCAAAGATTCGAATATCCTCGCGTGCTCGAATAAAAATCCTTACCCCAAAAAGGATTTAAGAAAATAGACTCAATATGGGTCTATTCGAGTGCGTACGGTATTTCTATTTAAGAAATGATTTCACTACTATAGAATCAATTCAGATATATTGTTAACGATAAAAAGAACATATTTAAGTATTATAAATTCGAAGAATACTGGACAGTTTGAAATAAGTGCGTAAATTATGCTATGCGTGGCACAGATAAGCAAGTACGGAAGCATGCGTTGCCAAATCAGTTTGTTGTTGTATCCAATATCGATTCCGTTTCAACTACATAAATATTTCTTGTCCTTATTATCTGAATTTTAATTCATCGATACTTGAATACATTATTTAAAATAATCGTGCGGGAAACCGGCGAAGGTTTCGTTAACTACGAATTAAAATATTCACTAAGTTTTGGACGACCGAAATAACTTTGTACATAATTTGCACATCCGTTGATGACGAAATAATGACTACTTGCATAAAACGTATGTAACATTCGTTTTAATACAGAATAACTGCAATGAGACTATGAGACAGGGACATATAAGACTTTGGCCTACCGCTCTGGAGGCCTGGAATCGAATCCGTGAGACCGATTCCAGGAATTTTTCGTGACGGTCTGTTCAGAATACGTCGGGCCCCGTCCCTCACCATCCGGTCGTCCAGGTGTGGACCTGGCCGAACCCACTATGGGTACGAAAAAAGGTCCTCTCGGTACCCACGGGGCAGAGAGCCAAGAATTAAAATAATTCAAAAGACTGTTAACGAGAAAGTCAGCAATTATACCGCCACCCAAAATAGGGGTATTGTACCATATATAATTTTCCTTTCAAATCGAATAACCCAAGTATGCGAGACTCGAATACGTGTGACCATTAACTAACAGTATCGCATATTGTAGAAATAGAAGCAATACATATTTTTTAATTTTTGAAATTATTATTTTAACTTTTTTCCAAGTCACATATCCGGGTAATTGAAATTAAAGTACCCCTACGTAACGCTGTGTAGAGATAACAGCTGTCCAAATGCAATCAAATCTAGTACGATGACAATTCGGGATATGCCGAAGACATTTACATATCAAAACTCGCAACTACGATAATGTGGGCATTGTAAGCAAAGAAAGCATTTTCCTTTGTTTAATCACACGTGCTGAGGGCCAAGTTCTAAGTATAAAAGTGACTGCCACTGTCGAACGTCATTGTTACCAGCTACGACGGCCATCATCTTGCCGAAACGCATATTTCTTGTTGAAGTGTTTTACGAAAACAACGGCTGCACTTGAAATTCATGGGCCTTTGAATGCGTTACCGCAGTTCGAGTCGATGAATAATGTTGCAGAATATAGTAGGACACGTGAACGGTGTCAGTAGTGTCACAGTAGTTGAGTATATTCTACCATGCGGCGAAGAAGGTGTCCAGAAAGTCGGCGCATTGTTATCTGTCAAATGTCGGGCATAACCGATAGTCGCTTGTCACCGACGGCCAAACTCTACAGACCCGTGCATCGATATTCCTTACCACAAAGAAAGCGAATGCATGGTGGTCATTTAAGATCCCGCGCAGCGGCGAATACCCGTAACCGTCGTATTTTAGCCGGGAAAAACCTCCGTGTTTTCCGGCATATGACGTTTCACTCGCCTATTCTGGAACGAATTCTGTGACGTTTGTCCTTCACGTATCGCACTCGGCGTACGATAGTTTCTGCAACATTTCATCCATAACAGGGCGATTAGTCGTACATTTTCTTTCGCGCAGACACTTCGTTATTCGAATCTTAATCCGTATCATTTTCGGTTACCAAGACATTTGAAAAAATGTGGTTGATGAGGACACGTTGCACATTTGGCACTACAGATAAGAAGCATGGCAGAGAATCAATTACTGTACCGTTACCCATTGAACTCCTTTGTCACTTTCGGGTTTTATATTCTATCTTCATAATGAAGATGGCGTCAATCGGTATTCCCGCATCGCTAAGTTTCCGTATAGCACCAATGCCTCGTACAAAAATGCTTGTCGATTGCAGTAGTAAGGTGGCCTTATGTTTTAATTTGTTCTTTTTTACGAAAATATCTTCCGCACGACCCGAAGTGTCATCTCAGTAGATCCGGTTCGGTTTGAACCGCTAAATACCTGCATAGAAAGCGTCGAACTGTACTGTACTTTGATTACAATCACCCGGCACAAGAATCTGTTGGTTAAGAACAAACTTTGAGGTTTTAAAAATTTATCAGATATAGTTTGACCAAATTATTGTCGTGCCAGTCATGCCAACATGCAATAATTTGCAAATCATGATACAGTCATGCCAGTAAATTTTGTGATTCCAAACATATATATGTATTTAATTTGTATCCGCAATATATTTGAGGTTAGACGTACTTCGTGTTCAGTAAACTTACAGATCTTATTCAAACAGATAACAATTTCCAAAACTTCTACATTCCAGTACTAAAAACATGCGATATAGATAAATTGCATATCTTGTAATATATATATTTTAAATACTTATATAAAATATTTTTATCGTTCATACCATTAATTAAGATGGCATCTACATTAATGTCTATTTTTATATGTGATTCTTTATAAATAATTCAATTTTTTTTTTATTAATAAATATAAATTCCATACGTGAAAAAGCCACGTCCGAGATCAATAATATCGACCTAATAACTCTGCTATTTTTAAACTTGTAATTTGATTTAAAAAATATCGAGTGTATATATATATATATATTTGTATAAAAACGTATTTGGTGTCGACTATATAGAAATATGTTTCGTTTACAACTTATTTTCTCTTTATTAATTTGGTACATTCCACATGCTTATGTATGTTCTTACCTGAAGAAGTCAATCCGTAACGGTTACTTTGTAATTTTGTTTCTGTTTTAATACATATATTTTTTTTATTATTATCATATCATCCGTATTTCTGTTTTATCTGCAAAATAATTAATATTACAGCAATTAGAAAATTCACACTTATTTAAGGTTCGTTTTTCGTTTTAAGATCGGGGTTTAGACAACGTTTATTTAATAATGTGAATTCTCTAATTCAAAAATTTAAAAAAAAAAAAAAAAATTCTTTTCTTACCACACAACAGCATAATAAAACAATGACAAATGCCACCGGTGTACCTGCCGTACCAACGATCCATACCAATCGAATAAAGAATATAACTCCGAAGATGTTTTGTATGCAAGGAAGATAAACTCCAGCAACTGTACCGAGATTCGCTTTCTACAATTAGAAAAAAACCGTATTAATACATAAAAAAGAAATCGATTAATGTCTACGGGATTAATGATAAATCGATTAATATATACTTTCGGCGGCGGTTTGGATTCTTCCGTGACGCTGGGAATGGCGACGTTGTAGTTGGCCAGAGAACCCAGAAGCGAGGCCACTCGGGGCCTCTCCGGCATTTCTTCCTAAAAGAGAATAAATATTTAGAAATAATTAATCACGTATTTCGCTAATCTTTCGTACGTAATTATCGAAATCGTTTACGAAATACGAACGACGAAAAACGAAATACAACGGGAATATCAGATCCGCTTACGGTAATCTTTTGGGGCCTTCTTCTTTTTTTCACTCTTTCCGTCCGGCGGGCATTAAGAAGGCTTTTTATACCCGGTGAGTGAGGCCTAGGACGGGGGTCGGTTAGCGATCAATAACGTTAAGCGGGTAAGACCGCGATAAGATAAACATTGGTAATTTCTTGATACTTTTTCAAACAAGTAATGTAAGATGAGATTTGAAATTTTGCTCGCAGATAGCGTAGAATATATTAAATTTGATAATGTTGTTGTTTTGAGTATTGGCTAGTTAGGCATAAGCTTCTAGGTTATATCGCCCCGTGGTAAAGTGTGACGTAATTATCATTGTTATGCGTTTATGATGGGAAATAATGCCTTCCGGGAGGTCTTTTAAGGGAAAGTGGCCCCTATTCAGGCATTACAGAGTGGAGAAAACCCGGAAAACTCCACGTGGCCAGCCCGTCCCAGGCGAGGCCCGAATCCACGATCGAATTCCCAGTGTTCGGGGAACTGGAACCGCTTGGGCACTGGTGGGCCTCGCGAGGATGGAAAACGTTCAATATACGAGCAATTATTTATTGTGACATGGTCACAATGCCGGTTGCAATTTTTAATCATATTTTTAATTTATTTAATTTAAAATATATATTCTCCACCTCAAATTAATAGTGGTTTGCTCCATACTTTTCCTGTTAGTAATTGAGTCGTTTCTTCAACTCCTTTCAGAGGAAAAATTTCGAATTGAAATAACGTGACTTCCGATTTATATCGGAAGTTATTATACATTGCATTGTATAGTTAATCCGGGCTTTCTGCCCTTAAGCTGGTCTTGTTTTTCATCTATCCAACTCTGTTCTGGAGATTAAGGAAGGACAGAAGTCAGATAGACTGACATATAGACAAACTACAGTGTGCATAGGTCTACAGTTGTTTCAAATTGCAGTTAAATATATAGGTTAAAAGATCCTGTCACGAAATTAGCAATGTATTATCACGAAATAACCACCTGTAGGCGACATAAAGAATATACTACTAGAAAACTAATATATTCGTAATAACAAAACAACAGGTTGTTATCTGGAGAGTATGGTCTCTTTAATAGCGTAGTTAACATATCCATTTACGAAATATATATCGGATAATTAAAGAATAATTAATTTTATCACGAATTTACCAATGTTTACCCTACCGGGAATCGCCACTTTATTAACTCCAACATTGCGGAGTCGTCTTAAAACATTTAATTAAAAAAAAATACATAGCCGGAAGATTAATTAATTGGTGTTTTTCCAGTCGATGTCAGCGGCGCCGTCTTTTAACAACGGCAAGCCCGTAAGGAAAGAAACGCCGGCAATTTACACTACCCTACTGTAAATAAATAACGGGATAACCTAAGGTTCCGGTTAAGCTGGGGCCTGGAAAACTACGTCTAGGCCAATCCGTAAAACCATTAATTAGACTACAGTCGACCCCCTATAACACTGTTGATTTTTCCGTTTTATATGAATTCCATGTTGTATGAGTCACTTAGATTTTACAAATACGTGAGCCGTTCACAGCCCAGCACGTGTATTTGTAAAATCTAAGTGACTCGTATAACATGGAATTCATATAAAACGGAAAATCAACAGTGTTATAGGGGAGGTCGAATGTAATAACATTCGAAAGTGTCCGAGAAAACGGAAAAGCTAAGAACAGAATGGCCGTATCCGACTGTGCGTAGATTTTCTACGATACGTGCATACCGATTATCGAACGAAAAAAAAAAAAGGGAAGGAGGTCGACACCCCTCCCTAACAGACACTATGCGGGTAAGTAAAGTTTATTGGCATTTAAATAGGACCGAAATAGGCGTCCGTCCAACACAATATAATTGGCACGGGATTAATCCGGGATCAGCCGACCAATTATCAGAATTTATTGTCCCGTCGATTGAAAATTTACGACCTTTTTAAGGAAAAAAAATCGACACGGAAAGATTATTTAAAACAATTGACTTAGAAATGCTTAAATTATTACGTATCTATCGATTTTGTAAGGGACGATCGAAGTCTTTGAAGCCGAAAGTCTCGTTCTTCGAATTGTAAAAAGTGCCCAAAAAATTCAAACATTTTAGGACCCGGCAGAAGCCAAATTTCCCTAATCGATTTACGGTAGAAGACGAAGGCTGGATTAATTTAAGCCCCTTCCGTCCGTCGTTAAAAATGCTCGTTATCGGTTAATTGGCCCATTTTCTTTTATCGTACTCTCGATTATTTATTTTTTTTATTAAATTTCGCGATTGGCTTTATTAAATTGATAAATCAATTTAAAGTTAATGAAAGTCGACCCGTAGTTCTCTCCGTAGTATTCGATTAAATTATTAAAGAAGACAATTCTAAAACATTCGATGTAATTAAGTAAAAAATGGAGCAATCTAAGTTAAGACGAATGGAAAATCATTTGCCGGAAAGAATTAATTAACTTTATTTCCAATAAGGACGGAATTTTCCGGCCGACTAATTCCGTAAAACGACAATTCCGTCTACCACACGCAACAAATTACACTCTATCCGAGTGCCACTGCAGAACCGAATGGAGAAAAACAAGAAAATACAGTTTTTTTGGAAATATTTTGCACTTTGCGATTGCTTATATTTCGTGCCAAACGGTTCCGTCCCCTAAACACTGGAAGTACCTGGCCAGAACGTAAAGTTTTCCGGGTTTTCTCCACTCCTATAACGCCAGAATAGGGGCCAGTTACCCTTAAAAAGAAAAGAACTCCCGAACAGCATCACCTCTAGGCAGATCGCCCGTGTTACGTTGCCATAACTTAATAAAACATATAAAACAAAAGCTTATATTCGGAAACTGCTAAGTAGAAAATCTTGAAATTTTGCACATTACCTAACAAAACAATTGTCTTTTCAACGAGATATTCGGAATTACTTTAGACTTTTAAGGAGCGGAGAAATCGACCCCCGAAAATCGGCAACTCTGATTCCTGTATATATCGGTGAGTTTTCTACTAGGCAGGGAGTCGCTCTCGATCTTTATATCCGTATCTTATCGTCTTCCTACGCGCCGTTTAACTGGTCAAATAACGAAACACACTGGAAGTGTTTCGACCCCATAGAAAACCTAAAATTCTGGGTAGAAGCAGGTGATTTTGCTGATGTTTTAATACCGGGTAGTTTATTTCTATTTATAACTTGTATTTCTTTTACCGAGGAGTGCCGTTGATACCGTCACTCGTCTTCCTAGACAACGTAACTTAAGCACAAAGAAAATTTTAAAAAAATACAGAAAAACCGCACGGTTCAGGCACGTACTTTTCGGGCTTTTCGGATTCTCCCGTAGCTACCGAACAACAGATATTTGGGGATGCAATTTTTAAACTGCTGACCTGTACAGTACGTTCTCGCCGTTAATTTGAAGAACGGAAATAAATACACGACCGGCACGACTCGATTGCTATCGGGAGAAGTATGATGTACGGGGGCAGGACGGAAAGCTTAGTTTAAAGTAAGATTAAAAAATTGCAGCTCATGCAGATATTACAATTGACGTATAAAATAATAGATTTTTCCCCGAGTCTAATATACGGAGCGGTTGGAGAGTAACCGGCACGGACAAATCGTCGTGATTTTTATAATAATAATAACGTCGCTGTAATAAAATCTGTGGTTGGGAATTTTATAATTCCCGGGCGGGTGGCGCGCGGCCGTTGGCGCCGGCGCCACGAAAGACAGAAATGGGTGGAGGTGGCGCGGAGACGGCAATATCTACGCAAGGCCCAGGGAGGTGGCGCCGCCGTCCGTCCCAAACACACAGTATGGAAATACGGTAAAGTGGGTACGGTGGTACCTCGAACTGGGAACTGCGCGCGCATTGTAAAGGTGCTCCGATTTGCGGCTTAAAATATCCTGGGGCCGGACGGATATTTGTCCGTCGGACCGTAACGTTTGTAAAGACTGTCGGGACACCGCCTTCTCCCGACGGGGCATCCCACCGTCCAAAAGCCGTTCCTGACACCTACCGTCGATTAATTCGGGCGAAAGAGATTAAAGAAGCCAAAGAAGGGAAAATGAAGTAAAGGGACAAAGGACAAAGGAGTAAAATGGCGGAAAAACGGTTTCGAAAGATTATAAAAAGAGTAAAGACGAACGGACCCGATGGTAAGAGAAGAGGATGCGGAAGACAGACGGATCGCGGGAGGCCGTCGATTCCGCCCGGATACGATCCACCATCGGAAACCATAGAAACAGCGGCCTCTCGACTTTTAACATTTGGCCACTCGGGGGAATTGCGCTGCCGTTTCTTTATCGTCCTTCCGCCGTTCCATTTACCCGCGGACAAAAATACCTGGGTATTTACAATTTACAGTATTTACAGTGGAAAACTCTAACCGCCGTGGTTAAACAGATCTCTTCCGCTAGACCGAAATGTTCCCTTTTATCCCGTAAAACAACGTCCCGCCTAACGGATCGGACCCACCCGGGTGGCAGAAGTCCTCATATATCGTATTTAAATCCTCGTCTTTATTTACGTACGCGGCTTAACTCCTAAATATATACATATATTACACTATGTGCCATTATTTACTGTTTTTCTCAAACTCTTATAATACTCCGGCCAATTTTGCCTACCCCGGAAATCCGCAGCTCCCCTACCGGGAGCTTTAGACCGGGCCACAGAGGAAGAGGCCGGGAAGAGAGTACGAAACGAATTCGGAAACACCGGGGAACGAAAATACTGTACTTTGATATCACGAGGTAAAAATTCCGTTCTTCCGTCCACCGAAAACGATCGATGGCCGGCGCGCGACAGGCTTCTCGGAGGGGAATCCGAGACGAAAATAATTACCCGTCCGATTTCCGCCCGTCCTAACGACTTTTTCCGAGTGGAAAATGAAATTAACGGGAACGAGTTACGAGGACGGCGCTCCTCTATTTACTCTCTTTACCTTCCCCCAATTGAAATCTTTTTCTCTCCTCTCCTCCTCCTTCCGCCGGCCTCCGAGTCCTTTCGTCCCTTCCGGTAAATCCCCGAGACTTCCGGATCCTTTCGCCGTCACCCGCCTTTCTAGGACAGCGCCGGAAGAAGGAGACGAAGAACATCCCTCCCCGGACGGGTCCTCGGGCTGGCGGACCCTGCCGGAAAAACCGTTCGACTGACTCTTTCTCGGGCCCGGGGTGGGAAAAACTACGCGCGCCCCGAAAATCGGACAAACGAAGCTGGAGAAAGACAAAACGTAACGTCCGAACGAATTTAAATGCGGCACGGAGGTCGACCCGGAAATGATGGCTTCTCCTTCGGGTCGCGGAGACGGACGGTCGGCACTCCTTTACGGGAGCCGGGAGGAAGGGAAAAGAGAGAGACACTCACATGATACAGGTAGAGGTTCTTCTCGTAGGCCGACAACTCCTTGTCCTCGATGATGGGGCGCTCGTCCGACTGACGTCCGGCCGCTGAAAAATCACAAGAAAAACCCTGATCAGTTTCTGCTTCCCGGATTTTCTTCGCTCCCCCAGAAAGAGGGAACTTCCGACCCTCCTCCGTCTTAACCGGGTTTTTGTGAGTGGCTCCACCCCCTAAACCGTAGTTAAAAACCGCCGTTCTCGTCCAATTCGCGATGTAATCGACAACCGTAGTCACAAACGATACATGGAATGCGGCTTAGCCAGTTACACGAAGGAGGCGGCACCGCCTCCAACATTTTTAAAAGCCTTTTTATCCTTTCCTTCCGAAGTCGTCGGACCGTCGAGTGTAGTCCGCGCGCCTCGGCGCGCGTATTTCTCCCGTCTTTATTTACGCTAGCGCCAGAAAAAACGGACCCGTCGGGACCCACGCCGTCCGCACGCGGCTTCTCCACCGGCGTCGTTACCCACCGCGCGCCTCCTCCCGCCTCCCAACGATCGATATAGTATTACGGGGCGGGTCGGGCGCGGTCGTCCGGGCCGAAGCGATTTCTCGGAATCCACGGCCGAGGGGGCGAGTAACGGTCGACGACCGACGCCTCGGCGTCTCTCTCTCCGGCCCCGAAGGTGGGACCGGCCTCTGGTGCGATGGAGAACGGCGCGTGGATTCTGAGGAACGACGTGTCGGTAACTTCGCGCCTCTCCTTTCTCCTCCGGTCTCGGACGAACGGAAAAACATCCGTGGCTTTTCCACCGACGAACGAAAACGTCTCCAGGAAATCAAAGGCAAAAATACCTTTTCGAAGAGCGGGCCGCCGGAAGTAGGGTCACTCCCCCTAAGGCCGAGCTAGGTCCGGGAGCGGAGGGCGCAAATTTCCTGTCCCAAAAAACTTCCAAAACTTTCTCATCCTTTCCTATAAGAGCTAACGGCGCGAGAATCATTCTCTCCAAAAATTCGGCGGGTATGACCGTTAAGTCGGCTCCCGTCGGGGAGTTTCCGCCTCTCGTCGCCCGCCGATCCGCCGGACTCGGGCGGAAACGGAAATCTCCCAATCCGTGGAAAATTGCTTCCCGCTCTTCCCGATTTCGGAAAACGTCCGTGTTGCGGATGGACACCGCCGGGTGGCTTCCCGTCGGACGTCTTCTGCCGGAAATAGAGAAGACAAAGAAAAAATCGAAACGACAGACGCGTTGTTTTCGCCCGGTCCGATGTCCCTCCGAAACGGTCCGGAGAGGGCGGGCGGAGGAGGCCGTTTCCGGTCGATGCCGCTCCGTCCGTCGGATGCGCGCCACTTCCGGCCACCCAGAAAATCGAAGGCGATCGATCGATCTTCCTTCGGCGCAACCGAGAAGAGAAAAAGAGAGTGGCGGTTTCCGGGCAACCCGACTCTCCTCCGCCTCCTCCTCCTCCTCCTCCACCGCCGTTCGGCGCGGTCCGGGAACGCCGGGAAGGAATTCTCCCGCATCCTGCGCCGAAAAACGCTAGAAGTCCGAGAACCCGCGTGCGTGGCGTCGGAAAGGACCGAAGAAGGAAGAAATCCTCGCCGGGAAAGAAAACTACGCGGCCCTCTCCCTCTTCCCGCCGCGGCGTCCACGGAGCGGAGTGGGTCCGCGGGAGCGCATCCCGCTGATCGATCGGTCGGAGGCGGAGGACCCGGTCGAATCGGCCGTTCGGCCGTCCCAGACCCGGACGCCCCGTCCGGACGCATTCCGCAAAAGAGGGTTCCGCCCGATGTCCGGGAGGAAGCGGAAGAAAGAAGAGGAGGAGGAGGAGGAGGAGGAGGAAGAGAAGGAGGGAGAAGAGGCGCTCACCTGGAATGAGTCTGTCGGTGGTCAGGTCGTTGTCGGGGGAGGGCGACTTGGGCGAAACGGGCGTGGGAGGCAGAATCACCTCGACTCCGTCGGGAGTGGTGGTCTGGGTCACCTCGAACTTGGTGGAGCCCTCCATGACGCGGCCGCTCGCTCCGCCTGGGCCCGGTCGACTGCGGCCGCTCCGCCATCGATCGGCGGCCGCGCCGCTCCGGTGGCTCCCCTAGCGGCGGGCCGCGGCGCCGCGCCGCGCCGGCCAGCGTCGGTAAACGAAAAGAGGGGAGGGAGAGAGTCGGGCTTCTACCGATTTCGGACGCCGAATCCCCATCCTCCCGGCTTTCCAACGGAAGCAGAAAATAACGATCCGCCCGGCCTAGAAAAAGGCGAGCGACGGATACCGGCGCGGGAGAGGGAAGGGTAGAAAGGGCGCCACCGGCGGACGAACCTGAGAGAAGAATTTCCGGCAGACGGGAGGAAGAAAAGGAGAGGAAAACAAGCGGGTGGAGTGGGAGGAAAAATTAAAAGTAAGCGACGGGAAAGGTTGGAGCGACCGAGAGAAGGCGAATCAGAATCCGGTCTGGCGTTGCCCCTTTCACATTTAGTGTCTGCCGGTGTCGTCCGGTCCTTGGTAGTAAACACTCCTTCGCCTTTAATCGATACGAACCACCGATTTGTCGGCCGCTGCCTCTTGTTACAAATTCCATTATTCCCGAGTGAAGAAAGAATTGGGGAGGAAGAAGCCGGAAAGATATTTTCGTCTAGTCTTAATCCAGTTTGGTGAGGTCTCCGTTTAATCCTTCCTTCTCGGGATGGAGGTTTCCGCCCATTTACATCGTCTCCGTACCCTCTCTCTACCCGTAAACACCTCCGTTTCCCTTTCGCCTGCTCCGAAGAATCCAGCTAAAAATGGGGCCGGTCCGTTACTCGGCCCGCAGTTTCTGCGTTACGTGGTAAAGGACCGGAAAGGGGTTGCCGGAAGTAAGCATCGGCGCGGGATGGGGAAGACGACGATATCAAAAAAGTCGGGAAAAAGCTACCGATCAATAACCGCGCCGTTGGGAGAACAGAGAAAAGGGGATGTCGGCGCGTGGCGTGGCTTCGGGGATTCGTTCGCACTCGATCCGAAGCGTTCCGGATAAGAACCGCCGAGGGAGGGAGAGAGGAAAGGCGGAGAACCCGTCGATGCGCGCCGCGTCCGATCGATAGGCGTTCCGATTCGATTCGAATATCGAACGGAAAGACGCGTTGGGCCGTAAGTCGGTTCCGGACGAAATCTTCACCCGGCTATAAATAGACGGGCGGAGACCGATCGATTCCGCCCTCCGTTTCGTCTTCGTCGCCTTCCGGAGAGACAAACAACCGGCCATTCTTCCGGCGCTTTACCCTTTCCGCCACTTCCGTTCCTTCCTTTACCCCGCCGACGGACTGCGGCCCGCGGGGGAACCGGAAGTGTCTTCGGGCCTCCCGGAATCGGAAGCGCGTGGCTGCGCGCGCGTTTCCCCGAAACCGAAACTCCCTCGTCTCCGCCGCCGGCGCGGCGTCGCTTCCGGTAACCCTCTCGGACTTCCGCCGGGAAAAAATCCCGGGGTCGTTCGCCTCCCGTCCTGAAACAAGAGTAAGGCGCCGCTACCCCGTCGGGAAGGCGGTTGGCGGCGAAGGGACCCGGGCCTCCGGGACCCGACAGACACTTACCTGACGTCCGCCTAGGGGAGGCGGGCCGGGACCCCTCCTCCGATTCGGGCCCCGGGCCCTGGCTCTCGGTCACCGAAAATCTGTTGGACATGTCGCCGGTCGATGCCGCCGTCTCGGCGGATATCGATCCCGCCGGCGCGCGCGTCTCTCTGCTTCCAGAAACCGCCGCGCCGAGTCGCTTCCATTTTCTCTTTCCTTTCCCGTTCTGGTAAATTTCCGTCTCCTTTTACCCGGGAGAGATGGCGGCCTTCCTCTTCCTTCTCGGCTCCATTTATTTCCTAAATCCCGCCATTTGGCTACTTTCCAAACGACTAAATCCCTAAATCGGCCCGCTCGGCTTGGTCGATTTAGGGATTTATCCCTACGTGTAAGAAATTTCCGTGGCCGAAAGAGAAACGGACATTTTTCGTAAACTTTGTCAAATATACAAGAATTTTCAAGAGGACGTAGGCCAATCTGATTAAAACTCGTTACTATCGATAAAATATTTGAATCGTTTCTTAAGTGTGGGCGCCGTCCGATAGCCGTTAATAGTGTTATTATAAAAATCCGTTAATTGTTGCCTCGTGCAACCGCCGCACCCATTGAAAGGCGGTGGCGATGGCTACTTCCTCCGGCGCGTAATTGAGGCGGTCTTTTACATAATTGAAAAGTAAATAAAGACAACTGTCGAATCAACTGTGAAGGTGGCAAAAGAAATAAGAAATGTTGCCGATGAGATCCTTTGTACAACAAATGGAATGATTAAATCTGGCAAGGAGTCTTGGTGGTAGAATGATGGGATATAGAAGGAGGCTAAGAGAGGATGAAAATGGTGGTGAGGATACCAGGATGGATTACGGAGAAGCCGAAAGAGGACCAAGAGAGCAGTAGTGAGGGAAAAGATTGAGGCATAAACTGAGTTTTAAGAGTTTAGAAACGGATGATGAACGAAAGAGAATCTTCGGACTAGCCAAACGAAGAGATAGAAACAGTAAAGACAAATACCAAGTTAAAACTATTAAGGCACTGAAAAGATCGCGATATCTTGGATATGTGGAGACAGTATTTTGAGAGGCTAATAAATGAGGAGAACTCCAGAAAATCGAGAGAAGATAAATTATCAGTATCGGGCCCAGTTCTGAACATGAAGGTAACACTTGAAGATGGAGGTCTGATTCGGTACAATCAAAACCTAATTTATGATTTGTGGAGGGAATGATTTGGGAAATAATGAACATGCTAAGACGAGAGATCAGAAATTATTTAAAACGGGAAGATTCGAGTATTTCGTCAAGTTCATGGATAGGGCGTGAACAGTGAGATGGAGGTCAGACATAAAATACTGGCAGGTATTCTATGTAATTCAATCTAAGTGGAATTCTTTCAATTAGATTGAAAAGAGAAGTTTACAAGTCAGTGGCGGACACACAGGCACTTGGGGCCTCCGAACCAGCTTGAAAAAGAAGTACATTTTGCGAATTTTAGGCACAGATACCATCTTCATCAAGTCAATTTGCAGTAAAAGATTTGTATATTAGGGTCATTGATGCTATTAAATTTTGGTGGTTAAAGGTCAAGAGCACGGGAAACAGAAGAGGATGTATCATATTCAGTGGGATCGGACTCAGTGAAGAATTTACTTATTTGCATTTACAATATTTGTAAAAATAAAACTCATTTCTACCCTTAAAATAAAATATTTTTTGCCATTTTATGATAAATATAATTTTTGATTTTAATAGAATCTCGTAACAGATGGTACTACACACAATTTTAACTTTTTTGCCGAGAAAGTTATACAACTCGTTGCTGGATTGTTTTTTTAAGTTATAAATTAATTTTGTAGCAATTTTTTAGTACTTAGAACAAGGAGCCCTCAAAACCAAGTTGTGCTAGGGGCCCACCAAGTACCTGATCCGCCAATGTTACAAGTCGACGGTAAGACCTGCATTGAGTTTTGGTATGGAAACCCTGCCTTTGACTACGAAAAATGTGGATAGGTTTGTGGTTGTTGATACGAAGACGTTGAGATAGACATGCGGAGTGATAAGGAGGCACAGGATCAAGAATAGCATACTGAGAGGACCTCGGAAGTGGAGAAAATCAGAGTCAAGTTTACGGTGGTTCGGACATATGGAGAGGAAACCTTCGGGTTATGTTGGAAAATTTACGGAGATGGAACCCCAGAAAGAAGAAAAAGTTGTAGAACGAGAAGACGATGGTTTGACTGAGGATACAGATCTTGAAATTGATCGGAATCTGACAAAGAACAGGAAAAAGTGGAAGAAATCGATCTGTTGCAGTGATCCTACACGAGTGGGACTAATAAGCTAAAGAAGATTCTGTAATACCTCGGATTTACTATAATTGAGTGCAAATGCAGTACATATGTCAATAGCTTCCTTATACTATAGAGAGTAAAGATCCACCGTATAGAAATTCTGCAATGCTAACTCGATTTTTTTAGATTTTATTTATTTATTATTTATTGTTGCTTTACGATGTTAACAAGTAAATTGAATAATTTTACCATTTTCCAGAATATTGATTCTTATCGTCTGAGTTCGTGTTTTAATCTCTTTTAGACAATAGGATCTGGCATTATCGGTAATATTTGCTTTCTTTAATTTTGGAGAATTAACCTTTATTTTACGTTTGTTTGCTTCGGCCATCGTTCTAATAATTGTAGAAGCTAAGTAGCTCTGTTAAGAAGAGTACCTCAGATGAAGAAGTAAACGTCGAGAATCTCGGAAGAATTAAATAAAATTTAACTATAATATTATTTATAATTAACCAAGGTAACGACGGGCAAATAATTATTAAAAGAAGACATTTTTATATGATGGCGCATTAAAAAACGAACGGAAGAATATTTATCGAGCGGGCAAAACGGGTGGCATCCGTCATCCCGCGAAGAAACGGTAGCACGAATAGTCAAGGTTAAGCCAATTTCATTTTTCCGGAATATCGAGTGGAAAGGCTTTGGTTTATTCGTAAAACGGGCGATCTGCCGAGAGAGATAGCTCCCGGGAGGTCTTTTGTGGGAAACCGGCTCCAATTTAGGCACTACCGACGCCAAGAAAACCCAGAAAATTGCACGTGGCCGGAGTCGAACGGGCTTTTCGATAATTACCACAGGTATTCTTAGTAACGGGAGGCTTTCCGTGTTTTAGGGTGGGCGGGTCAAAACAATGGTGGAAAGACGGTTTTCGTAAGCAACGTGTAAATTTAAACTACGGAAAACCGAAGAACCGGAACCGGGAAGAGAAAAATTTCGTGGTAAGAAAATAAAACGGGATCGGAAATGGAAACGGAAATCTCGCACGGTATTTCGAGAATATTTCATTTAATTAAAAGTTTCCGTTTCGTTCGAAAATGGCAATTTCCTCATTCCGTATTTTTTTTTTATTACTCTCTTTTTATTTTTGTACGCAATCGATAGGAATTATAGATAGGAAGTCGGCGGTGTCCGGGTCGGAAAGAAGAAATTGGGACGGTGCCAGAGGTCG